AAGAAGAAAATCAGTCTCAATTAGAAGCCATCGCCAGACTGACTGTGCCAACTGGGCTGTTTATCTAGACATGAAGTTTGATTTTTTTTATTTCTTTTTTCCCCAAAAACACTCAAAAATTAAATCGGTTGCATGCCAAGTAGGTACACCCAAGAAAAAGAAATACAGGCACTATGATTCCTGATCAAGTACCTCAATATTCTGGAAAATCTAGATTGGATTTTGCTGGAAACAGACAAATATACCTAAAAAAATATTACATAACACTACCCATCACTCAGTAAGAACCATAGCCCACTTTCCAAAATTGTTTCCAAAATTGACAGTAATTCAATATATGATGTAACTCCAAAACCTATGGTGAAAAACAATGGATTAAGTACTAAACACAAATGACAAATCCAAATTTCAGCAAATGACAAACTTAAATTATAGCAAAAAGCCAAAAACAATATATGGGGTACTACCCTATTTGTATGTCAATACATTCATTTTACGATAATGTACTTCTTTCAAGAAGCAGTAATGTAGATAGTCTGTACCGAATTGATATGAGCATTTATTTTAATACTTTACAATGTTGTATAACAAACCAATCTCCAGACAACCAAGGATAAAAAACTCGAAACACAATACTCATAATAAAGTTCCCAAAAAAAAATTAAATTGAAAAATTCATCAACATGAAAGCACAAATCCAAATTCCAAACACATCTCAGTAGTCCGTACCATTTTACAAGAATAACACTAAGTCAATAACAATGGAAGCAACTTAACAAACAAGTACTGTCACTCCTAGAAATCGACAGGCACAGCCGCATAGGGCCAAAATTATGCTATAGTTTAGCTCAAGGGATTTAATTGATCAATTTTCCTTCAAAATATCTGGATCTCTAAAATTGTTGGAAGTAACAATTTCGCTGATGAGTGATGAATGATTTGAAGCAGATGAAATAGAGAAAAAAAGAGGGATTAAAGTTGCATATGAAAAACAAAGATTGAAAATGCCATTTATAATCTATAAAATTAATTAATATTACCTTTTGGAACGAGAGAGATATGCTTATATGGATTGGGGAAGATGATAAGTCGAAGAGCACGATCAAGATTTAAAGAAGAAAGATAAGCCTTCTTGTTTGCTGAGCCTTCATTAATTTAGGGTTTTTATTTACATTTTTTTTTAATCCATCCCGAGGATTGAGAAGTGAGATGATTGAAATTTGGCTTTTGAATTTTGGAAAAGAAGACGGGAGTCACGAGTATAGTGTAGAGACTTAGTGATGCTGGCGAGATTGCATTAGCATATCTCTCGATAAATATAATTGGCTCCGATCTTTAGTGTGATGATTATTATATTTATTATTAATATTTATGTCTGTATTTATATTGTGTGTGGGCTTGTTTGTATTTATTTATGTTATAGGTTGGGCTTTTATTATTATGGGCTTGAAAGTTTTATGTGATTAAGGGGATAATATTAATAAATCGTAGGAGATGTTGTAATGGCAGTTAATATCAGATTGAAGAAAAAAAGAAATTGTTCTTCGTGTTTTCTGTACAACTTTTGTACAATTCTCCCATCATTAGCTTTCATCTACATCATTTGGTATCAGTGGTCGGAACGATCCTCGATGCCGCGACAAAGAGATGCTGCAACCGAACGGCGTGATGCCGACATCAACGATCGATTTCAACAAGTGGAAAATCGATTTCAATTGGTGGATAATCGGTTCGACGATCTCTCGACGGGGATCGACGAAATTCGTCGTTCACTACATACCATGATTGAGGAATGGGAAACTAACCGTGGTGGTGGCCGTGGCTTTCGCGGAGGAGGTAGAGGTGGCCGTGCTGGGGCGCCTCGGCATCAGTCCCCTCCGTCTCTGAACGGCAGTGACGATAGTGAGTCCACCTGGTCGGAGAACCTCTTCGCCGAACCAGAACCCCGACGTGGCGATGAAGGACTCGGTCTTCCCCGAGTTCACGATCAGCGACGTCCAGGTGGTGACGAAACCCTAGGACCCGCCCGATTTCGTGAACAGAGGCGTCCAGGCATGGCCTTTGCGGCGGCTGACGAACGCGACAGCCGGCGAGGGGATGCAGGTTTCGCCGACGGACGTGACAGGTACGAGTTTCCTCGATTTGCCGACCGCGAGTTCCGACGAGGGGCTGCCGGCGGAGATGATTTTCGCGAATGGCAACAAGATGGTCGACGATTGATGCCGACGAGATTGCATTAGCATATCTCGATAAGCATGATCGGCTCCGATCTTTAGTGATAATTATTATATTTATTATTAGTATTTATGTGTGTATTTATATTGTGTGTGGGCTTGTTTGTATTTATTTATGTTATAGGTTGGGCTTTTATTATTATGGGCTTGGAAGTTTTATGTAATAAAGGAGATAATATTAACAAACTGTAGGAGGATGTTGTAATGGCAGTTAATATCAGATTGAAGAAAAAAAGAAACTGTTCTTCGTGTTTTCTGTACAACTTTTGTACAATTTTTCCCATCATTAGCTTCCATCTACATCACTTAGGAGTAGTGGACTTAGAAACTGGGCCTCTTATTTACAATTATTTGGGCCCAAAATTTGTACATAGTGTTGTTATGGTGCCCCTCATTTCATTTGGGCCCTGGGCCTGGGCCGGCTCTGACCACGTCACCTGCTGCTGCACAACCAATAGTGGCGCCCAACCACCCTTGGAATCTGAGCTCGATACAAAGCACATCAAATTATTTGAAATTATAATAAAATCTTTGCTAAAACTTTGTCAGATGTGGTTTATTTGATGAGTTAAAGAATGAGGTGCCAATCAAAATTAGCCCATAGGATATGAGAGTAAAAATGTCTAAATCATATTTCTATCATTAAGGATATCAATATGAGTTCTAATGTAATTTTATCCGAAACATCAATCATATATGACAAGTATAAGTTCAAATCTATCCCTAAAATACATCCACTACACACCACTTTAATCCAATCCCATCCCAAAAGCAAATGAGGCCCTGTTATATTATATGGTCCTATACACATATTAATCACTAATACATGACAGCATTTGCTGCAAAATTAAATGAGAAAGAAAAAATTACAACAGCGTAGTAGCATACCAATGTGATTATGATAGTTTTCCATTTACCAAAGACAGATAAAGGCTCTAAACTATCTTTCATGCAAAAAGCCATATACCACACACATAAAAGGGCAAACCTGGAAAAGAGTTGCTTCACTGGAACACTTTCAAATTGGGACAGTTCAGAGTTCACATTTGAATTGCACTCTATAGGGTCCAAGTTTTCTTCTCTCCCGCACAATCACTAAAAAGATCCAAACTGCTATTTTTTTAATCAGTTTTAACCATTCATCTCGCAAAATAGATCATAAGTTAAAGCCACAAAGGCCAGAGGGGAGATTATACATTGCTAGTTTAGATTATTCTTGCTCTTTATTCATTTTCGCTATGCGACTTTGCGCAAATATTTCCAGGGCCCAAACGGTCCCAGCTTTGTACGTGTTTGGGGACTCGCTTGTAGATGTTGAGAACAATAATTACTTGCCACTAACTATTGTTAAAGCCAATTTTCCACACAATGGGATTGACTTTCCAAGTGAGGAGGCAACCGAGAGATTTTCCAACGGCAAAAATGCAGCAGATATCATAGGTAACATTTATCTTTTTCCATACATATTAAATTGTATTCATAAACCCACATATCTAACCTTGTAGTGAAACTCAATATGCCACATCAAAAATAAAAAATCCAACTTCATTTAAAAATCACATTCTGAAATCATAATTTCCATTATATTTTTTTTTTTTTATTTTTTTTCTAGTCCTACTACTAACTCGTGCATTACTATTTGCATTTATATTAATTATCTTTCTTTAATATGCATGGTATGATTTACAGCCGGAAAATTGGGATTACCAACACCCCTTCCATACCTTTCCCAGACAGACAATGTGTTTCTCAAAGGTGCAAGCTTTGCTTCAGGGGGAGCTGGAGTGTTCAACACCACGGACGAAGGCCTCATTGTAAGTCAACATACAAACGAGCAAAATTCATATTTTATTTTCCTCACAGGATAGCAAACATATATGGTTCTAATTACTCATTGAATTTTTTAAGTTATATACTTTGGGAAGAACCATATAACATATATGGTTCTTATAAGGATGACTATTCATTTAAAAAAAAAAAAATGACTTTACAGCTGAGCCCAAGCCAACAAAACAAATTAATAATTAAATAGGGTACGACTAGGGTTGAATCTCAAAAGAAAACCTGCTGCCTATGCCCTATGGGCTTTATAGCTTAGTCCAACCCAAACAAACATGATAATTACTAAATAAGTTATGACTTAGATTGTAGAACATTGGTTTTGGCTGAGTTACCGTTACTAAATATATCATAGCTAATATTAAGTATGGTGTATACTACTGTAGAAGCATACAATCCCAATGGCTCATCAAGTGGAACATTTCTCTACCGTGTGCCAAAGGCTAGAGAATGAATTGCGGTCGCGTGCTGCAGTGCAGAAGCACTTGGCCAAACCACTCTTTCTCCTTGTAATCGGCAGCAATGACATAATTAACCATTTCAAATTGGGATTGTATGCTTCATCGGAGGATTACACTCCCCAGCAATATGTGACTCTAATGGTTTCCACCCTCAAACAACAACTCAAGGTGAATAAAGCAAAAAAACAAAAAAAAGAGTGTCTTAGTTAGATAATTTCCAATTATTTCACATTCATTTTTCAATCCTCAATTTCCATAAATCATTATCTATTAGTAACTCTAGTGTGTATGAGATGTCAGATGAATTTCACATTCGACAGTCATACTTTTAACACAAATCGTACAGCTTTTTAAGTCGAAACTATACTTTTGAAAGCAACTATTTATTTTTGTTTGCAAATTTTATGATTATTTATGGCTCTAAAACATGCTCCAAATTCAGGGTATATATGATATTGGAGGGCGCAAATTTTTAGTTTTCGGTATAGCCCCAATAGGATGCGCACCAAGGTTTAGATTTGAGGATGTAAGCAACGAATGCAATGAACAAGTAAATTACTGGGCAAAGAAGTACAATGAGAAACTCACACAAATGCTGGCCCTACTGCACTTGGAGGTCAATGAATTTTGCTATTTATACTTTGACGCGTACGGCATTTTCCTCGACTTCATTCAGAGACCAGAGTCCTACGGTAGAAAATCAAATTCAAATTTAAATTTTCATTTTCATACATCACATCACACATTGTCTATAGGGTTGTAAATATTAATTACCCGGATTATATAGGATTCATTGAGACAAAAGCTGCTTGCTGCGGGCTGGGCCGATTGCGGGCCAAGTTACCTTGCACACCACTTGCTTTGGTTTGTTCGAACAGAAATGCTACCTTTTTTGGGATGTGTACCATCCTACAGAGGCAGCCGCTCTCATATTCATTGAAAAGCTTTTCGGTGGTTCCAAAGATCATGTATTCCCCATGAACATCACACAGCTAATTGCTGTATAATACTAGCATGCAATAAGGTTCACAATTTTTTTAGTGTGAGTTCCCATTTGATAACTGATCCAACTGTAGAACAGAAGAAACTTATAGCGGCTGGCTACTACATTGAAGTATTGCAGATTTACTTTCACTCCAATGATGGTTCAAAGAAATAAATGAGCTGAACTATAAAATGTTGCGATTTGCACCTTATGCTGCCGATCCTGTGAGGATATATTCACATGAAAAAGTCTCTCAACATACTTGTTATCTCCATTGTCAAGCCTAATAGCTTCATCAGCAACTCCTACACAATTTAACATCAGAAAACTTAATTGAAAGAAACCTAAATTAAACACTACTGACACAATCTGTCATATCTTATCAAAACTTAATATTACTTCTCATTTCTTAGGATTAGCTGCCTTTATCCATGTCAAAGACAATGTAATGAAATTTCAGAAATATTTCAACCAGAAAGAGAATAATCATCAATCAATTTTGTAATTAGCTCACAACTATTATCAACGCAGATGCAGATAATGCTCGAGTATTACTAAATTTTCTATTGGCTCCAAAACAGTAATTAATATATTATTTCTGCTGACGCTCTACTGCTCTTGCCCGGCCAATGACAGAACTAAAAGATAAAAACAAACTAAATCCGAGCAAACTAAGATGTTTCTGGTAACAGTATATGCACAAATAAAGCACATGTCCATAATCCAATTTCGTTTCATTGCGAGAAATAGACAGAAGAAATGCTGATTATAAGTAAACCTGAGACTCGGCGCTAGTTTCAACGATTACTTCCATGAATCTTAAGCAGCGAAAACTTCTTAAATCGGCGAAACTTCATAGAGGTTCCTGGTTGTTTTATAAACTATGCTGAAGAGTTGTAAATGAACAGCTCGTTCTTGTTCTACAAAAACTCTTTCTCGTGTTCAAACAAAAAAAAAAAAATAGATTTATTTGTTAATCAAACCAGCTGTTCAGTAATATTCATAATATAATTTAAAATTATATATTTATATTTGTAATACCGAGCCTAGCTGCTACCTATGCATAATATTACGGTCCAATCTTTAGAATGGTGTATTAACCATAGTTTTTAAACTCGGCTCGAGAATTGACCAGTGTCACCGATTCAATAGTCGGTTATCGAGTGAATTGATGAACTTGATAACTAATAAAAAATTTAAAATAATATTTATATAATGTTTTTTATCATATGAAAATACATAAGAGTATTGAGTTCTCGAATTTTCTGCAAAATATTAAAATATAGGAAAACATCCATTTTCATAAAAGCATGAAAAAATGTGGAAGCTCGTACAAAAAATATCAACATCTCTCCAAAGCATTAAAATATCTCTCACGGAATAAATATGTTACGTAATGCCATTTATATTGTAGTGCCTTCTGCAAAGTATTAAAATAACAACACTTTCTACATTAAATTGTAGAATAATATTGTAATAGGGACACAAGTAATGAATCTAGAACGTCGTACATAATATGAAGAATCGTTATATAATAGTTTAGAAAGAGGAACGGAAGAGAGTTCATTCGAGGGAGAGAGGCTATAAATAAACAAAAACTCTCATTTACAAACAACCTTAGTGAAAGAGTAATGGATTGTCATAATAAAATAATTAGGTGTATTAATTTTGATAAATAAAGTATCATTTACCATCTAGTATCCTAGTGTGAGTATCATAATAAAAAAATTTAGGTGTTTTTATCTTCATATTCCTCAAAAGGCTAGGAAGATTCATTCATATGCGTTTATGGATCTGATTCATTTTATTCATTTGTTAACAGTCTGACCTCAGAAATGAAAGAACGGTTTATGGATCTGATTCATTTTATTCATTTGTTAACAGTCTGACCTCAGAAATGAAAGAACGGTTTGATGCGCTGAAATCGAAACTGGAGAAAGAAATGTGAGGCATTACTTTTCATATGTGTATTGTTTGTGACATATGTATATTGTTTTAACATGCATAAATAATAATTTAATGGCATAATAAATTTAATTAAATAAATAAATAAATTCACTATTATGACCATTAAATATTGAGTCTCCTTAAACAAGGAAACTGTGACAGTTCTTTTCCCTGCTCAACTGGAACTCATTTAAGCAGTAGAATCCTGGTTGATCTTGTACTGCTTGGACAAGAAGGCAAAACCTCTCCACCTCCTGCAGCCAACCGCCGACTGCCGCCCGGCCGCCGGCGGCGTGCGGACCTCATCGATTACAGTTGGCTCCAGGTCAACAAACACTGCACGAGGGACGTGTTTGCCTGCACCAGTCTCGCTGAAGAATGTGTTGAAGGCATCATCACTAGATTTTTCACCATTTGATCAACAAGCACACACATACCCACACATGGATGATTTACAATCCAACAATGAAAAACTTAAATGTAATAGGGTTAAATCTAGCTTGATCCATACCGATTGGACCAATTGTTCCACTCCAATACAAACCAATTTAAAAATTTGAAAGTCTACATTCTGATCCAAATAAATGCTAGTGGCTTTCCAATTTAGATGGGCCCTAAAGCCAGAACCTGAAACAAAGGCAAAACAGCCCATTTACACTCCCATGGCTTGAAAGAATAATTAAATACAACTAACCTTGCAACTATAGACAACTAATCTTGCAACTACATTCAACTAACCTTGCAAATTGAGTACAACTAAATATTGCAAATAAAAACAACTAACTCTGCAACAAGATAGAACTAACTTTGCAACTACAAACAACTAACCTTGCAACCAAAGACAACTAACCTTGCAACTACAGACAACTAACCTTTTCACAAAAAAATAAAAATAAAAATCAATTGATTTAGGCTTAAATCTAAAAAAAAAACTTCGACCCGAGATACGGAGAAACGGAAAATAAAAATCCCAAAATTTTAGGGCGGGATGCGACTGAGAGTCTGAGACCAAGAGTGAGTTGAAAAATATTTGAGATTGAGAATTTGAGAGAAGATTGATTCGGGATATCGTTGGTAGAGGAGATGTTGATATTGCCAAGATTGCGTCAGAGGACAACCTAGCTGATCCTTTCACGAAGAGTTTGCCAGGGAAGGTCTTCGTCAAACACGTGGAAGGAATGGGAGTCATGAGCATGGCAATAGGATCGACATAGGTCTTTTAGAATAACGGATTCACTCAAAAGAACCAACCAAGCGTAGCCTCTGAATCCTCATATGATCATAAGTCGACCTCCTAGCTCTCGAGGTCGACTCTGTATACCTCGAAGGCCAAAGATATGATGACGACTCATCACACTTACGATATTCTCAAAGCTCAATATACTCCAAAGGATAAGAAGGAATCTTGTGATGACTCAGCAGCAGGGGGAGGCGAATCGACCGGGGAAGCCCGACAGACAGCGCGTTCCGTGCGTGCACCGAAAGGAAATCGGGTTAAAGTTCCTGAACCGGGACGCGGCGGCTGGCGGCAACGTTAGGGAGTCCGGAGACGTCGGCGGGGGCCTCGGGAAGAGTTATCTTTTCTGTTTAACAGCCTGCCCACCCTGGAAACGGCTCAGCCGGAGGTAGGGTCCAGCGGCTGGAAGAGCACCGCACGTCCCGTGGTGTCCTACACCTATCCAACATAACAAACACAACATAAAAATAATTCAAACAGTACAATCCCACAATATAGTATTATTTTTGTCCAATCCCATCCCATTTATCAAACATGGGCCAACATTAAAATGAAGTCCATTCACCAACATTAAAATGAGGAATCCCCATCCAATTGAGGACCTAAACTCAGTTTTATGCCACGTTAATACCGGCACATCAAAGATGGCAAACCATTTTTAGAACTGCAATTAAAGAAAATGTTGAAAATATTGAGAAGTGGTTCTCGACTTTCGAGTCGGTGGAGATTCCCGACATCCAGAGCAAAGTCGAGCTACCGGGCCACGTCATTTATGTTGCTCGGGTTCCAATGATGGTGTGGGATCCGAGAGCCAAAATCGGCATTCCTTCATTACCGAGTGTATATAAATTCAAGTATCCCTTTATCTCTATGGATGAACCTCATGAGCTAAGGTCTCCTCCTACCTTCACTCCCTTAGCTGGATCGGCCCCTACACCCTCTCTTGCGAGTGAGCATTTGGTGGTGCTCACAACCAGACCCTCCACTCCACCCACAGTTGAGGCCCTTTTGGCCCGACCCTCTGTCATTCCCCCCCGCCCCCCCATCCCCCCAGGAGTCGGGACACAGTCATATTATTTGTTTCATGTAATTTTACATATTATGTTATATCAACGCCTGACGAGGACGAGACGAGCCTGCTTCAGCCGCGGAGGCGGCCGCGGCCACCTTCTTCATATAAGTGAGGTAGGCCGGCCGCTTCTCATAGATCTCAAAGGCGCGGCGGTTAAGGAGGAGGCCCGCATGACTGAGCTCGTAATAGTCAATGAAACGCATACTCGAAGGAAGGCTGCCAGACGCCTCCGGGTCAACCCCGAAGTGCAAAGCCAAGGCAAAATACAAACATAAACACAAAATGAGCTGAAAATATAGATTTTGATGAATTTATTTCCATGAACTAACTCATCTCTCATAGAAATTCATCAACATGAGAGAGTTACATGAATGAAGAAAAAAAACAAGAAGAAGAAGGGGAAAAAAAAAAAATGCAAGGCCTACAGAGAAATTTATTCTATTGAACTTTTTGTCTTAATTAATAGGCACTGGTTTGAGAAATTTTTTCTCCAAGATAGTTGTCCTAAGATAATTAAGCTTAAACTCGTACATGCTCGTAAATTATTATTGGCACTATATGCCATTAATTTTAGGCCAAAACTGCATTAATTATTCCCAACCAGAAAATTAATACCCTACAAAAAGTGTGCTTCTCATAGACTGGAGAAAAAAGAATTGGAAATTAGATAGTGATTTTGAGCTAGTGATTATGAGCAAATAAGATATACGTAGGATTTATCTGAAAGACCTGACGTTACATTCATAAACTTAGATAGTGATTTTTGAGCCAGTGGTTATGAGCCAAATAAGATATACGCAGGACTTGTCAGATCGACGTCACAACAAGAGCGTGAAATCTTCTTCATTAGGTGGTGGTTATAGCTCGTTGGAAAACTACGCCGAACGCATCCATTATATGCGGAGAGGCTCATTTGCGATGCTCCAATTTCTTTATTTCTCGGACAAGTTTGTAATGCTCGTCCGGAAATGGGGGGGGCTAGATGATGTAGCATAGTGTAACGCCCCGAATATTATTATAATATTAAGACGATTTTTCGAGCAAACATTGCGAAGGAGATCGACAGCCACCCTGAATTGCACGAGTACATCTATTTTAGAGATATCGAGGCCGGACTCCGTCGCATAAGGTGGGCCAGAGGCTCTTGTGGACCGACTCACTGGTTCGAAGTTCCGCAGGACCTCTATGCCGTTGCGACCCTATTTAATGTGGTTGTCGTTCATTTGAGCTCTGGTCCACAAGGTGGGCAGCACGACTTATTCAGCACCACAGTGTTGCCTCTCACTGCACCCTACTGAGCCCAAGGCTTGTCCTAGCCATAGCACATTGGTCCTAATATTTTTCTAAGTATGGAAATCAGCAAGGAAGGCTCAACAAGTAATGAACTTAGCCCAAGGTCATTTCCCACGCGCAGCCCATCTCCCCGCGCAGCCCAGCCCGCGCCCTCGCGCCCAGCCCGCGTGATGCGCTTTGAGCACTCTAATTTCTTCAAAGTAACAGCGCCGGAGGCACGACCCGGCCAGTTAAGACCAGGAACGTATCACCGGCAGAAGGGACGAGACGATCGGTGCACACCGTACTGCTTGCGGAACCTCAATATC